GTAGATGTATCGATATTTTGGATTCCTATCGTCATACTTGTCTATCACATACGGGTCAGCTATAGCCCAAGTGGCTCGTGCGGCGTCGTAGCCTTTCATGATAGGATCCAAGGGCTTCCAATTGGTATTTCTAAAATTCATCCGATCCACTTCTTCCTTATGTGATACTATCCACTCTGGAATGGACAAATTTGTGCTCACTTCTTCAAAAGTTAAGATAATATCGTTCTCCATCTTTTGAGGATTTTTCAAATTGCAGTGTAGCACAGTATGAGTTGATATTTTTCCTTTCGCAAAAATCAAGGCTGCTTGAAGACTTTCGATCAGAACATGATGTACGGTGGCTTGCGCTATTGTTGTTCCCTTGCTTTCGTAGAAGCATTTTTCCCGTACTTCTGTGGCATTCCACATAATCGTACCTTTTCGTGTCATACAAAGACCCGTCAATACTTTGCAGTTTCCCATATCACCAAGGCTGGATATTATTCCATGGTCTTCAGAGGTGGCTATATCGCCATATTCCAAAACATAATTAGTGGTCGTGGTGCATCTCGTTCCCAACCAGCCATCAGAGTAGTGAACGTCATTGCGGGATTTCCAGTGGGAAGGTAGAATTTGTTGCAACCTGGTGCCTGCATATTCCTTGTCCGAATTCAGTTTCTGACAAACTGATGGCGATAAGGCTCCAACCTCGATCTCGTCAGATATAACTTTCATGATGGGGCGGAAGAATGCCTTAGTGCAGATCGTTCTCGTGAAATTCGCACAGTATATTGCCGGTATTTTGGCATAGCTTCGTGTATAGATGGTGACTTTTGTATGAAGGACAGTGTCACTCTCGGATACGCAGCAATTGGTCGGGTCGGGGATGCTCACCATGATTCCTCCAGCTTGACTTTTCGAACATATATGAAATGTTGTTTGTGGTTCCGCTAAAGTGCAGATACTGCAGAATACCATCAACAGTTTGAGGATTTTCATCCCGCTGCAAGTTTCATCTGTTCGTTTTCTCGGTCTCTTCACCAGAGTCGAGATTACAGCACAGTTTGCTTTGATTTCGTTCATCCTGGTCATTTCATCTTCGGGCTCTTCTTCCTCGAGGTTCCTGTCCGCTGTTTTACTCATTTCATCATCAGGTTCTTCTTCCTCGAGATTCTTGTCCGCTGTTTTACTCCCTGTTTGGTTGTTTGAATTTTCGGCTAGTTCTAATGGACAGAAC